ATCACCATGGCATCACCATCATCATGTCATGATCTTCATTTGCTTCACCACTTGGAATGTGCTACCTATCTCATGATCACTTGATAAACTAGGTTAGCACTTAGGGTTTCATCAATTCACCAAAACCAAACTAGAGCTTTCACATACAGAATTCTGGGAAAACCCTCAACGTTCAGGCAGTAACTGCTAAACCAGGCTCCTGCCATCCCTAACGGTGGTTGCAAGGAAGGACTGAGCGAAAAGCTTGTTGAAAAGAAAAGGCTAGGCGAGCTAAAGTGCACCGAGTGGTGGTACCAATGGTTAGGCCAGGCTCTGCTTATAATGGCAGAGCGGTCAGTGGTCCTGACGTAGTCCACCCACGAGTCCTGCGCGGGATCACTATGAATGAATCAGCCAAATTTTTTGTGCGTTCAAGGCGAGTGATGTCCGAGGCCATTAATGACTAGTACGACTATAGGGCAAGGGTCCAATAAGAGCGCAGAAAAGAGTACGGATAGACGTGGGTCACGGCAGACGTGAACCACAAGCGAACGTGAAGCACAAAGCCATAGTACAGCAGTAACTTCTGAACAGGAACGAGTCAAGCGTGCACCATATAACTCGCATGACATCTACGAAGGGCGCATCTACCAACAATACGGTCACGACGACTTAAAATAGTACCAGTGTGACCGACTTAAAGATTGTATAGTACATGAGAGTCAGTTCATTGGAGAAAGCCTAGTTAAACCTATTCTGAATACTTAACTATAGCAATAGTGCTACTTATATATTTTGTAGTTAAACGCCCTAACTTTTTGCAAAAATAGGTTGTCAAATTTTAGTTTAGAAAAGGATTTGGAAGCTTTATTTTCTAATTTATGCTCTGATACCACCTGTGGCAGAACCGCCCGAAATAACACACTTACGGAGGCGCTTGACTTCCACTAGACATTAAGCACTCCGAAAGTGAGCCACATCAGGCAGTTCCGTCGAGCACACCCCATGGGAGAACCCAAAAATCCACATTTTTCAATAGAATCATAAATGGAAGAATAAAGCTTACAACATTTTAGCCATTTCTTACATCACTGTTTATGCAACATCAGAGTATAATATTTATTTTTTATAACAACAGAATATAATCATGTTATCAAAGTTTCAATGGATATAAAATCATCTAATGACAAGATAAACATTAACAAGATGATCCGTTATATACCACACAATAGGTTATAAGTTTTTCCATTGTAAAAACATTTTGGGTGAAAGTTTCAAATAAACTCTATGTCCGCAACGTTAAGGAAATCCTCGCTGAGCCCACCAGGAGGTTTCCACACACAAGTGTCAGCTCCACATGTTCCTGTCACCTGCAACAGGGTAAAACAAACCCTGAGTACTCAATTGTACTTCGTAAGGCTTACCTGTCAGGAGGAAAGAAAAGACTCCAAGGATATGCAAGGCTATCTGGCTCATGGGTTATTGCATCTGCAGGAAGCATTACTAAAAGTGCATCCTTATATTCAATTTCATTAGTAGTCATCATTAGTTCAATAACTAACCATTCTATATAAGCACATGTGCTACTTTCAAGCAGGTGGTAAGCAATCAGACCATTTTATCATCTTTCATATTACAGTTCTTACTACGGTGCTAGATCATAGACAAGTCGTACCGGATTACCCGGTGATTCGTGAATCAATGTGCCCAGCTAGGTACCTCGAAACACACGGCCCGCTTGTACCCCAGGCACAAGTAGGACCAACCCACCACTCTCCTGTCAAGGGGTCCATGTCTCCGTCCAAACTTGGACTCCAAGCCCCACACCTAAGTCCCGGACTCAGTTTGGTGCTTAGACCTCCACCATCCCTGCCTCCAATCAGTCGGTCTGAAAAGAGCCGGAACCCACGACAAGAGAGCAACGTGTCTTCCCTGCTCCCATAAACAAGTATGTGCTCAGAACAATAAGTCTATGACCTGACTAGAATCCAATGCAACAGACGGTCCTTAACCGACACAGGTGGAACAAGCACAATCCGAGCCTCGCTCGAATGCCAAACCAAGTCTAGATCCAAGTACCATTCTGCCCGGTCTCCAATTATCATTTATATATTTTCTATGTGATAGTAATATAACAACAATAATATCTTTCCTATCTCTGGCGAGTGACAGGCAATCACTCGACTTCTATCGGAGTCCTATAGCATAGCAATCTACATGATCCTATCATACTTGTAAGACTCATGGGATAAGGATATATATATATATATATGCAAGTGGGTTTCATTCAACTCCTTAAACTCAATGCACAAGCATAAAATAAAATGCAGAATAATAGAGGTTATGCACCGGGGCTTGCCTGGGTAAGATATAACTAAAAGTTAGCATTCCATCACGGTGACACGATCATCAAGGCACCATCTTCTCCGCTACCTCAATCAACTCCACGATCCATCGTTGTTCCTATTATGATATACGTGGATGCAACGCAGAGACGCAATTAATCAATGGTAACAGCAACGCTATAATATGATTATGCTCCGCTAGCTAACGAGCTAGCTTAATGACTAACATACTAGTCTACGTTTCCACGTCGTCAAGTAATGCTTGTTCCGAAAAATGTCTTCGTTCTACAAACCCTCAATTATTTTTGACATTTGATTGATTAACTATATATTTTTGGACTAGGGCTCATTTAGTTAACTTAACAAACTAATTCCTATGTGACTACAAAAACTACAGTGAGCACCTAATATCGTTAGGAATCTACTATAAAAATTTCAGGGCCAGTACTTCTACCAATTCATCACAATAATTCATACAAGTTCTTGTTTTACCCATTTTAAGTGCTTCAAATTAATTAGTCTACTCTAGAAAATTCTATGAAACTAAGTGAAAAAATACATTATCAGATAGGTCATAATTTTAGAAACCTAACAAAATTGGTTTCATAATTTTTGGACATCTAAGCGAATTGATATTAATTTCCAAAATCCAGCTTAGAATGTAAAATATAAGACTATTTCTATTTTCTTAGGAAAAAGAAAAGGCAATTCGGCCTCGCGGCCCAACAAGGCGTGGCCCACGACGGCACGAACCGCATGGACGCAGGCCACGCGCGGGGGAGCCTGCGCGCGCTGCCACGGTTGCACAAAAGTCCCCACGCCTAAATGAAATCACGCCACACTATGCGTGCTATTCACGTTGTCAGCAATCATGCAATAATGACCCTGTAATAATTCACCTTCGCATCGGGGATGTCCCTGGCCACCACTGCGCCCGCCGGCACGGCGAATGCGGCACTGGATGGCCACGTCGGCCAACCAGGACCCGCCCCGGCCCAGTTAGCGGGCCGACCTGCACCTACAGCCCAAGTTCCAACACTAGCCGAAGCTACGGTAACGGCAGAGCTTGCGCGAGTGACGGCCGCATGCGCGGGACGCAGTGGAGGTGGAGGCGAAGCTCGTGGCGCAGTTGCCTAGGCGTGGGATGGTGCGGTGGTTGGTTGCCCTCGGCCACGGCCGAACCTGGCCTTCATGGCACATCGGAGGGAAAGCTCCAAAATTGGAGCTGGGCAGCGCCTCCATCACGGCTTGGTAGGGTCAGATAGCAAGTAGGCGTGATGACTGAACTGCAGACGCGCTGAATTGAGGCGAGGTGATCCCTCGCTGGCTAACCACGTGGACGCAGCTCCGACGGCAGTAGCGGAGAGGAGAGAGAGAGAGAGAGAAGTGATGGGGCGGCGGGTGGGCTCGGCACTGCTTCGGCTCGGTGGGACATGGGCAACGCGATGCAAACGTACCCGCGTAGGGGCTACGGACAACGCGGCGTCCCCGACCAGCCATGGCCCGCGCGGCCGCAGTGCCATAAATGGCAAGCGACGGCGAGCGGGCCACATGCATGCAACATCAAACTGGGCCAGCGGCGAGGAGCGGGCGCAACAGACAAACGCGAGCTCGACGGATGAGATTGCAGCGGCAGCGACTGCGGCGTGGCATGAGGCGGTGGCGGTGCGTCAGCGCGCAGAGCAGGGCAGCGCCACCCCGCCATGCGAGCGGCAGCAGCGACGACTCCACGTAGTCGAGCCAAGGCGGCCAAGATAGGGTAGTCGTGGCCGGCCAAGCGCGACAACGCGCCCCCGAGGCATGGTGTCCGCGCGTACACGGCGAACTCTCCTGAGAACGTGTCGTGCACGAATATTAAAGCTCTCACCGGAACTAAATCGTTGCTCCTAAACTTAAACGGTCTTGGCTACACTCCAGGCAGTATATAAGACTACCAAATCGGGCTTTAACACTACATCACACCTAAACTCAGTTTCTCAAAATAAATTGCTAAACATAGCAATGTCCAGCTGTTGACAAACTTGAAAATTTCTAAGTGCTTGAGCTGATTTTGGTTTCCAATTGCGATTTGTAAGCTAGTGGAATTATTAGCTAGTAATATCATTTTTCAACCGCAAGTATTTCATTGCCATCTACAAAGGTTGTACTTCAACTTTATTTAAGTATCACATACATGTTTCATAGCATTTTTGCTTAAAAAATTAGTTTTCAACCTTAAGTAATATAACATGACTATTGAATTAACTTTCATTTCGCATCTATGTATCGTTTCGAGTTATAGAAATTGATCTACACACTTTATCACATGCATTAACACATAAACATAATGCTCGTAACATGATTTAGTAGTTGGTTTAGGACGTAACACCGAGGATGTTACACTACATTAACATGTGCTAATGACGGATTAATTAGGCTTAATAAATTCGTCTCGCGGATTACTGAGGACTTCTGTAATTTATTTATTATTATTATCCGAACACTCCCATGTAATATTCGATATGATACCCGATGTGACATCCCTAAACTTTAATCTCTGGATTTAAACACCACCACGTATTGCCCAGTACCACTTCTACAGTATGAATTTGGCTGCTCTCCAGTCTCCACCGAAAAGCAATGAAACCTGTGAGGCAGTATAGACAGCAGGCGGGGGCACATGCGGACATGCCTATTTCACTTCAGCTTCACCAGCGGCTGTACGCAGTGATGCACAGTTACAGGTCTTCTATTGCTAGCAGCACCGATTGCTAGCCACCGGTTGTGCAGGATAATCAGCAGCCATGATGGTTGGACCAGCCTGTGGGAGAAGGGGGAACGCGTGCTGCATCGCGCCAGCCAGATATGCCTCCTGCTCAATCAAAGGAGCTCCCTTACTCTTAAAGCCATAAGAGCATCTCCAAGAGTACCTAATATTTTCTTTCTAAAAACATAAAGTTTTACAACTCTTAAAAAGTATGTTAAGGAGTACTGAAGGCCATCTCCAAGAGTTTCTAATAATCCACTATTTTACATCAGAAATCCTATATTGGTTCAGGGGCTCTTGTCATGTGAGCTGCTGACTGGTTTGGAGGAATATGCACAACCAAAGGACCGAACAACATGTCTGGGCAACGCTTGAGTCGTGATTGATGCTTTTTGCCACCCAGATGGATGTCAAATACAGCTCTTGTATCACAAGTCACATTGCAAATGGTGCAGACTAGCGGTTGCTCCCTTACTCGCTCAGGCCTTTGCCGCGGGGCTTGAGACACTCTCAGCTTCTTTCCACCACGGCCAACTCCTGTCAGTTTCCTCTTTGGGCCATTCTTGTTGCCGTTGACATCCATCCTTGCTACCACCAGTTCCACATTTGATGGACCTATTGCATTTGGTGGTGCTTCACCGCCATCTTTCATCTCATTTGTAGGCTGATAAGCTTGAACAGCAACATGCAGTTCTACCTGTGCTTCAACACTGTGACCATCTTCTGCTGTATGATGTGTTGTGTTTTGCTTGGAAGAACTGCCTGTCACCTCAGTAATTTGCCCTCCAGAAACTGAAGCTACAACATTTTCAGGAGCCAAGTCTCTGTGCTCCCCACCAATGCTGGTTGAACCAAGAGGTGGGACCATATGTACTGCAGTAGAGGGGCCTTCCACTTGAGCCAACTGAGAAGATGTTGATGAAGGAGCACCCGTGTCAGCTATAGCAGGAGTCATACCTTGCAGGCGAGCCATATCTTGCATTCTCTGCACAGTCCGTTTATGCTTCTTTCCATTTTTGTGCTGCTCAAGGATTTCCTTGCTATTACACCCCACTCGGCATATATCACACCAAGCAGCTGGAACTACAGTACCGGTGTGAAATTGGTGGTTGTAGCTTGCATTACATGTGCTGGTGCACACACTGTTTCGGGCTGAGCCTCTGATGCAGATGATCCACGGATGCTCGAATGGCTAACTGCCTATCACTGCTCTTGTTTCCACGCCTCGGCCTCTACCACATGGTGATGTAATTCCTGCATTCCATGTAAGAGGATGATACATAGGGCTTCCACCTCTGCCCCACCCATGAGCGTACCTATACCCCCGACCTGCAAGAAAATATAACAGCACCATGGTTAGGTATCTGGTAACATGACTCATGTTAATTTGCACTGAACCACAGCGCTTTGCAGCAATTGTGTATTGTTGCCAGTACTTTAGGAGTACACAGTTAACAGTTTGCTGCAGCTTACAAACACGAATGTACAAGAATTTACCACCTGTCTTTGTGTGCAGTAGACACGTACAAGTGATAAATAGGAAAAGTTAAAACACAGAAGTCCAAGCCAGCATAATACTCTTCTCTTGTATATATCTTATTCCCAGAAAGAGATTTTAATCTTAATGAAGAACTAATAAACAGGAATCTCAAGGAAAGCTCAAAGCAGATGTCAGGCAGAGAAAATACAACAATTTTTTTTTATCAGTGTTCCATTTATCCATGAATTATTGGTGTGATCATGGAGTATGTGAAATTATTAGTACAATAACAGCAGAAACCATGGAACTGTGCTAGCAAACGCTCATTTGAAGGATTAACCATGGACAAATTGCTAGCCCACAGTTCGTCTTTCAACAGCAACCTCAACAAACTTCCATGCAACATCTCATTGGCCCAATTCCGGAATGAATTTGCTGTTAGGCAATAGTGCCTCACAGGAATAGATAAGAAAAGGTATATAATTACCTTTCCCTATTCATTCGACCAATATTCTTTTCTACGGTAGATCAACCAACTTGTTTGGCCAACATCACAAATGGGTTTAACAGTTACAATATGGGAAACCCTTACCAAGGGAATATCATATACAATTATTGGTTCGGTTATAATGACACTGCAGATATCATTGTTAGAGTGCGAAGTTTAGGTCATCCAAGAACTCTCAATATTCCAAGATATCTGCATGTTCCAATAGTAACCTTTAATATTTCCACCTAAAATATAAGTCATTTAGGTAGCTGCAAGGGAGTATTCCTCGGAGTCAGAGAGATTACCAAATCCAATTAATCCTGCTCAAGTAAAATCCTATGGTAGATATTGCACTACAATAAAAAAAAGAACAAACAACATGGATGGAACTTGGAACATCAAAGAGAAATGTTAGTGTGGATGTTGAGTCTGTCCTAAAACTAACTTAACACGAGCTGTGCACGGGCATATTAATATAACCAATACACGACCACAGGTGTGCATGTCTACCCAAGGCAGTACTTAATGATTACACTTGTAGACTACAATTTTTACTGCAATAACGAATATTACTACTTGTTTTACAGGACTCCAAAGTTAAATCACCCCAGTAAGACAATACCCATAAAACTTTTGAAAAGAAAATAATCTCTTACCTTCCATGGGATAAGTCACCTGCACTTGATTTGCATTGGTCCAAAAGTTAGGGAGTGATTGGTTTGAGAAACCATTCCATCTTAGGTGAGGTGGTGCATCAGGAGGCATCCCTCAAATTTGGTGGAATGATGTTTCACAAGCGAGGGTAAGGCTCGCCACTGACACCCTTCCCCAGACCCCGCACTGAGCGGGAGCTCTCTGCACTAGGTACGCCCTTAGATGTTTATACTAATTGTGGGTGGGGTGGAGATTCGGGGGTTTTCTCGACCTGCATGAGAAGGTCTTCTTCTTAATGCAATGCCCAGTGGACTGGCTTACCCCAGCAAGAGGTCGAGATTTTTTATGTTTATACTAACATACTAACTGTTAGTTTGTGAGGAATGTGGTGGCGATGGATAAAACTCATTCAATGACCCAAACCAAACAAAAACGTGAGGAGTGAGAAGATGGTGGACCACCCAATTCCACCCTATAACGTCTAAGCAAACTGTTTTATACAATACAATTATCTATCCATTGAGTGCATACAAAGAAACTTACTTTCATGTAATACAGGGAAGAGTCCAAAGCTCCAGCTTTAAATACATATCTTACTTCATACACAAAACAGACTGAATATGCAGCAAATATACCGAGTTCACAGAAGGTACATCTAATTCTGGGAAACTATACAGATCAGATATGTCGAATAAACGTTTGGCTATAGGTCATTTATAGTTGATTCGACAAAGCAAGAGGAATATAAGAAGCCAACTGGTTCTTTCACACTGCAGCTGCTGCTTGGTAATCTGAACTACTCAATCCAAGCATGATTATTACTAAAGTTTTGTGTGCATACAAGTATATATATGTATAGGCATACTCATATATTACTATAAAATCCAGAATGGTACACCAGTATAGGTTGGTACCGCAATGTTCCATTCCAAAAGACAAACTAGAACGGCCACTGGAATGGAATTTAGAAGGCCTATCTCCTATTAGCACAATCTGCAACACCAAACACACCATAGTGAAAATTTTATGAAGGCCTTGTGGCTACTAATCAGCAGTCCATGTGCATTCATCAGTTACTCACAATACGGACGAAGAAACTCCTTTTAAAGAAACTAATTACCTTCCCTCCAGAATTATCATCAAAGGTTTCAAGAGCGTGAATAGACTTCCTTTAATGAATCAAGGATTTCAAGAGCCTGAATAGACTTCCTTTAATGAATCAAGGAGTAACTAAGGGGACACACCGTCACAGTACCATTACACCTACTGATGAAATTTGTACACAGCTCAGTAAATAGAGAGACGTAAGCGAGGTGCGTGAATACCGCTGTGGGATGCTGCGACGGCGGGTACTGCGGATCGTAGTACAGCAGGTGTCCCACGTCGCGCCCGGACCACCCGATCGAGGTGGCGAAGCTGGTGGGCTGCGACAGCGCGGATACGGCTAAAGGGTTCGCCCCTGGCCCGCCCACTACGACGTTGTTCGATGCTGCCGCTGCGGACGACCACGAAGAGGAGGCGGCCGCGGGAGCAGCATGCTCTGTTCCCGGTGGGGGCGGCTGGTGGTAGTATGAGGCGGCAGCGGCGCTGTGGCAGGTGTAGGCGTAGGCGTAGGAGTATGGGTCGTAGTTGGATCGCTGCGGCCAGGAGGCGCCGTGGGGAGGCAGGCCCTGGTCGTAGCCCATCGCCGACGGCTCGCCGGCGACGACGGTGGGGAGCGGCCGTGCGGGAGTCTGGGGATTCGTAGGTTGGGAATTAGGAATTTGGGATGCCTATTATTGGAGAAAATGGAATATTTGACGCCTAATCTGGACGCTGTGAACATTTCACATCTAATTCGTGTGTCGTTGAAAATTTAATACTCGAAAACAGGTGTTTTCTCCTCTTTTCTCCATTTAATATTTTTTTCTTTTTTCTTTTGCTTTCCGAGGCAACGCTGAATGACCAAAGTACCTTGGCCTGTTGTTGCTCGACCATTGCGGCGCCTCTGGGCTGCGCCGATGGCCTCCATCAGCGGCGGAGCCAAAGACGGCGGGCTTTGGCTAGCGCCGGCGCCCAGCACCGGTGACCGTCCGCGCGCACGCATGGCCGGCTCGTCCAGCACCGGCGACCGGCCCCGCGCCCAGCCTGGCCCCGCGCGCGCCCAGCCAGCGGCAGTGCCTCTTCCGGCACCCAGCGGCGGCGGCGTGAAGAACAAAGAAGAGCGGCGGCGGCGTGACGAACAGAGCCGAAGAAAAATGAGTACGGGAGAGAGATGCGTTCGTTTCTTAGAAGAAATGGATGGATAAGGCCAAGGTACGTTGCCTTGGAAAGCAAAAGGAAAAAAGAAAAAAAATGTTAAATGGAGAAAAGGAGGAGAAAACACCTGTTTTCAACGAATTCATAGTCAGAGTGTTAAATTTTCAACGACGCGCGAATTGAATGTCAAATGTTCACCGGCCGGATTAGGTGTCAAATATTCAATTTTCTCCTATTATTGGAAGGAGGCACGGAGCCTTTCGGCGCCGCAGGGCCCTTTTACCTATGGGCTGTGCAGTAATACTAGATGTGGTTGGATTCTCTGATAGGAGGCCCGGCCCATAAGCTTGGAGCAGGTGGAGATCGGAAGCACGCGTGATGGGCCATTTGCTTACTTGCTACAAGTAGAACCCGCGGTTGGATCGGCAAAGCGTCTTTGGCCCAGCAGCCGACCAAAACCAGCTCGAGGAAGGAAAGGCGAGGCGGAGACAGCGGGAGCCACAACACGAGCGGTGCTTCTGAACTGAACCTTCCTTCCACACCGCAAATGGAGGCATGGAGCTCTCGATCGGTCTGAAGTCAGCAAGCATTCTTTCGTTCTCATTTCTGACGGCATCGATCATCTATTGCACTGCACCACATGCAGCAGCCTTTCCTCTGCGATTGAGCAGTAAAGACCTGGAGGCTAGCTTAGCTAGAGATGATTATATATTAGCATAATTATTCCACATGATCTTGCCATCAGCAGGCCCTCTAACTGCCTGTCAGGCTACAAGGCGAATCATGGCGGGATATGTATTTTCATCGCCAGTTGACAATGATAGCGCATCAGAAACCCTGAGCCGACACAGTAATTCGATTGCTTGTCTGCAGTAGTAGCAAAAGATCGAACGCAGACTCTCCTTTTTTTTCTACGCAAAATGTGCTGTTTTATTTTCCTTTTTGTCCTACTGAAAGTATAAAAGGTTCAGGTACTACTAGTACGGTCATCCACCAAAATAATAGAGCAGCACACGGTCGTGGCTGGCCCTTTAAAATCGAAACAGAGATTCATGACCCTACCGTATCTGGTAGGACAGCTCGTCGCACTACATCGCTGTAGGCCGCTGTACGAGTACGACAAGGTTGTGCTGTACCTGTACCTGTACGTCGCCAACGCTGCTCGTGTGAGCCGCGACGACCCAACGCACCGCATCTCGCCGTGGCTTTTATTACTTCAGCGTCGTCCGCGAGCATGCACGACGACGCACTGCGGTTGGCGCGCAAGCGCGCAGAGGGCGCGCGCGGATCCAGATCGCCGGCCGTCGGTCCAGCCAGACGACCACGCAGAAACTTTAGCATGGCGCATCAAGTGATAGATGTCAAACGAACACTGACCAGCTAAGCTAGCTACGCGCTAATCAATGATTACCTCCACACTACTACATGCCTAGATCATCAACATGCGACCATGCGCCACTAGCACTTGTTTTGTACTCTTAACTATTGCTACACTACAAGATTTGTTCTTGTTTTTTATTGCGTAGCAAACGTACAACGTACACCAGCATGCCGTGCGCACCGTGCGCGCACACGACGACGACCTGCAGGCCGCGATTTGCGCGCTCCGCTCATCAGTGATCCGCCCGACGCGCCCTGGTGCATGCATCGACGCCGCAGCAGGTACATAAGTTGGATCGCGCCCGCCGGTGATGACGCGACGGAGATCCGAATCCGACGCACTGCACGCAGGTACGTACGCTCTTGCGCTGCCCGGACGTGAAGTAGTCGGCCCCGGACCTCACGGCACGGGCATGCAGTTGGTCCGAGTCCGGGTCTGACCTTTGGCATGGTTGCACTAGCAGCTGGCTAGCGCCACGACGAGTCAAGCGTGGATTACGCAGGCTTGCCACATTTAGCTGAAAAACGGCTGATGCTGATGATGATGTTGATTTATTGGGAGAGAAAAATACTGTTATTTTACTGAAAAGATACGACTGATAAGTTTAAACGAGCATGACCTTAACCCGCTGACCACTACGAGTAGTCTAGTCTATCTAGGCAGTAATGCACCAATGACCAACCCAAACACAAGTGATCACTCCACTGAACTTAGCGCAGTACTCTAGTGACGCTGACCCGAAGAAAGAAAGCTCCCTCGCTCCTTGGCTGACTAGCTCTGGGACTGGGAGATCCCTGGCATAGAACATTCTCATTAGTTCTTACCAATAGTCCAATAGACACCGGCCGGTGGAGAGCCCCGCCTCCATTCAAGCTGGTATGGGCAAATGGAAGGAAGAGACGATCGGCCGTGGAGAAGATGAGATGAGAGACCAAGGGGAAACGAGCCAGCCGACCGACGGAGTCGCTAGGCGCCAGTAGCACAAGTGGTGGGGAGGCAGCCAACCGCCCAACCGCCAAGGCAGGAGCCGCGACCAGAAGCGACGGCGAGCAGTTGGCGAAGCCGGCGCGCGCAGACGGACCCGCGCGCTCGCGTACCCAGTGGCCAGTACCCAGCTTCCAGGCTTCCCGCAGGCAGCAGCCACCTCCAGGGCTACAGCGCACCCACACCGGGGTCCGGGGGTACTGCCATGCGGGGGGCCAGGGGACCAGGACCACCACCTGCAGCCCATATGCACGGGAACGAGCACCGGTCGTGGCGGGCTGGCGGTGGGAACGAAGCAAACGGCGGAAACAGCTGCCTACCGCCGACTCCGTGTCGCTCTCCCCGTCCTGCACGACCGACGACTCGCCGCGGGCGGCGGCCCTACCGCCGGAGGAGAATCCAGGGGAGTCGAACCTCTTCTTGGTGCCTTCGCGTACAACGCACGGCGTCGGTGGCTCCTGCCGCGCCGACGGCTTGTCGTCATCCATCTCTGTCGACGAAGTAGACGCCAGGGAAGGGGAGAGCGGCGGCAATTGCGGCTGCCGCGATAGCAGCGGCGAGTACGCTGAAGCAGCTGACGCGGCCATGACGTGGGAGCGCATGTGGCCGCCCAGCGCGCGGCCATTGTGGAACCGCAGGAAGCAGAGCTTGCAGGTGTGCCTGTCCATCACCAAGCAACAAGCAAGAATTCCTACACCGAAGGCAGACGGCCAGCGCAGAGCACTGAGCACACGCTTCAATGGTGGAGGAGCAAGCAGCTGCTAGCTTGCTTGCTTTGCCCTCTGGCTCCCTTGCTTTCTCCCTTTGCTTGCTCTGTCTGTGCTGCCTTTGAGCGGGCCTCACTCACTCAACCCAAGGATAACAATCATCTGAGAGGGGGATTAAAAGGAGTAGGTGACAAGCATCGCTCCTCTCCACCACCTAGCAAGGGAGAGCGAGACAGGAGACGAGTGGGATCGGAGGAGGTGAGAAAGAAAGTTGCTTAAGCACAGCACTTAAATACACACAGCACAGGGCCAGCCAGGCTTTACAAAATTAAGGGCGTTCAAGACACTGAAGATCCACAAGATAAACAGAAAATAACTGCTCCAAGGCAAATGGCGTACGTAGCCTGTCTGTAAATGAATGTCAATGGAACAGAGAGAGATTCGCATTTGCATAACCGGCAGGACTGAATACGGAGATCAATAGGATTTGGGCGTGCCACTCGGTAATTCTTGAATTATTGCTTGGGCATGGAGGTCGGGTATCGATACTAGGGATATCCAAAGTAAGAAAATTAGTGTCCACATAGACTTTCTCGGATGGCTCGAGATGTATTAAAAGGTCTTGCCCGACCCTAAGACCGCGGGCTTCGTCTCGCCCGACCTTGAGGCCGTGGGATTCGTCTCGCCCGACTCCTTGGGTGCGGGCTCCGTCTCGCCCGACCCTAAGGACGCGGGCTCCGTCTTGCCCGACCTCGAGGCCGCGGGCTCTGTCTCACCCGAGCTCGAGGTCGTGAGCTCCGTCTTGCCCGACCTCGAGGCCGTGGGCTCCGTCTCGTCCGACCCCAAGGACACGGTTTCCATCTCGTCCAAGGTCGCAGGCTCCGTCTCGCCAGACCTCGAGGACGCAGGTTCCGTCTCGCCCGACGGGGACCCATACCGCCGCCAACCACTCCAGGTCCAAGCGTATGGGCCTGGGTCAAAACTCTGACCCAGGGAAGAGGCTGGCACGCCTTGATGTAACACGTGGTCATGACGGGCCATACCTGGGGATTCACATAAGAACAGTGTCGGACGTGCCGGTGCTGTTCTGCCTAATCCTCGTACGGACGCCGACTGACGCGTCAGTTCACCACGACGTCCGCCGGGACGGAGTGGAACGCCATGACCGGTAGATGACGCCTGCGTATGGCGCCAGTGGCGAACATGGTCGCAACATGGAGCCATCCCTGTTGACATCTACAAGATCGGCGGGACCCGCATGAAGGAGAAGAATGACCCGGCTACCCTAGAATCCTTCTTCTCTTTCGTTCTTCTCTTTTTCCTTCTCTGTAACCCGCGTTTTCCCTTCGCCTATAAAAGGGGAAGCAGGGCGCCCATGAAGGGGATCTAGACACGGGGGATCTGAAACACAAGAGCATGACACGAGCACACGGCTGAGCGGCATGTGAGCTCTCAGCACCCGTTCACTCCTTCCACCAGAGACTTGGGATCCTCTCCCTCTCTCACCTGTTTGTAACCCCTACTGCAAACCAAGTGTCGGTAACATGAGCAACAACAAACTGGATGTTGGGACATTTCGCCCGAACTAGTATAAACCCTTGTGTCCTCCGAGCACACCATCCGAGCCAGACGCACAAATATAAATTTACTCGTCGGTGGTCAAAAACACCGACAGTTGGCGCGCCAGGTAGGGGGTTTTTGCGCGTCTCGACGTCCACAGCAGGCCTCGGATGGCTAGTCATGGCATCAGCTAGGTCCCAGGCACGCACGTGCGCTTCGGGATCTAGACTTCATCGTTATGACGGAGGGAGAGTTGGCGCAGGTTTCCGCCGCCGTCCAGCCTCTCCACTCCGTCGGCCTCGACGCGATCGTCGAGGCACTTGAGGAGCTACAGCTGCACGCACCGAAGGCCCGCGCCCCCCGGGAGCGACCAGCTCCTCGGCTTCGATTACGGGAGAATAGAGCTCCAGCTCGGCGCCTTCCTAGGACCCCGACCGTCCCGGGAGGACCTACGCCGCCTCACCTTCTCATTCGCCAACATCATGACGCAGCTTGCCGGAGGAGAGCCGCTCTCCCCAGAATACCTCATCCGGAGCGCCCCAACAGGGCTCCCGTTCGGTCTGTGCAACGCCGCAGAGACCATTGGCCACCTTGTGGCGCAGCGCATGCCCCCATCCCCTACGAACAACAAGTTCGTGGGGATGACCGATTACATCGCGAAATCTTTCCACGACCTTCTCGCGGGAGAATCAGAGTAACCCTCTGACTCTGACTCCAATAGGGGGCACCATCACCCCTCGCGAGAATGTTTCATGGTAGGTACCCCCGAGGGATACATCGAAAGCATCCACGAGGGAGGGCTACCTCAACAGACGACCTCAACGACGAGGTTGAGGGGGATGCAGGGGCCCACCTCACCTGCAGGTAGAGCAGCTGAGGGCGCGGCACCAAGAGCTCGAGGAAGCACGACTCCATCTCGACCAGGAACGAGCGCAGCTCAAGCGAGAGATCGAGCGCCACAGAGACGGTGGACGTGCGCGCGCCGTGGCCCGTGACGTGAACCAAAGGATCATCGAGGACGATGAAGCCCTCCCATACTTCACCTAGGCAAGCCAGAACATCGCTGTCGTGGTGGCCTTGCTCTAAGGGCTTCCGGGGCCCACGACACCCGGGGATCGTCGGGTCCATCGCGAGATTCGCACGCTACTCGAGCGCGCGGTGGCGCAGCAGGCCGAGAGCTCACTATCCCGATGACTCGAGCTCGACGCTAGCCAGCGCACGCCCTCAGAGTGACCCAACAGGGACGTGTCAGTCCACCAGGCGCAGCGAGGCGGCAGGCCGCGCACCGCGCATCCGGTGCATGAGCGTCTTGGCCTCCTCCGTGACACGCGCAACACCCTAGATGCTCACCGGCATGCCCATGACGATGAGAGGGAGGAGGCTAGGCGCTATGACAGCGGCGAGGACCAAAGCCTAAGCCTTGACTTGCCGGGACCTTAGGCCTTTGGCTGACACATCCTCAATGTTGTCTTCCTACCACGGTACCGACCGTCGACCAACATCCCGAAATACTCCAAGAAAACAAACCCCGGACTGTGGCTCGAGGATTATCGGCTTGCTTGCCAAGCTGGTGGAGCAGATAGTGACAATTTCATTATCCGCAACCTTCCATTGTTCTTGGCCGATTCGACGCGAACGTGGTTGGAACACCTTCCACCCAAATGAATCCAAAGTTGGGCAGACCTAAAAGAGATCTTCGTGGGAAACTTCCAGGGCACATACGCGCGTCCTAGGAACCCATGGGATCTCAAAAACTGTCAATAGAAGTCTGGGGAAACTGTTCGTGGGTACATCCGGCACTTCTCCCGGCAGTACAATGAGCTACCCGACGTCGCCGACATCGATGTCATAGGAGCTTTCTATCCGGGACCACCTGTGAGCCCCTGGTTCACAAGCTGGGATATAAGGGCCCGCGAACCACTAAGGAACTCCTCAACATCGCCACCAGCCACGCCTCGGGCGAGGAGGCGGTTAGAGCGATTTTTGACCACCCCAAGGGCAAGGCAAAGTGGGATGAGGACGCCGACGATGGCGCCTCCAACCGCCTCAACAAGAAGAAGAACAAGCAGCGGCGCAAGGGCTCGCTCATGGCCACTGCCGATCACAAAGGGGGTTAGAAGCCCACCGAGGGTACATCGGACCACTTCGAGAAGCTGCTCGAAGGGCCATGCCCAAACCATGCTTTTTCCGTCAAGCACCTATACAAGGACGGCGTCCTCATGAAGCGGTTCTTGTCTGGAGGCTCCAACAAGGGGAGCATAGGAAGGAGCCCAAGCCAACCGCAGACAACACCGAGGGGAAGGATGGTGGATTTCCGACGCTGGATGGTTGCCTCATGATCTTCGGAGGGTCGTGGCCTACTACTCCAATCGCTGCCAGAAGCTTGCACGCCGCGAGATCTATACGGCCGAGCCGGCCGAGCCCTCCTTCCTCCAATGGTCGGAGTCGGCCATAACCTTTGATCAGACCGACCACCTGGAAAGTGTCCCATAGTTGAGAAGATACCCGCTCGTGGTTGACTCGATCATCGGCACGAAGTGGCTCACCAAGGTGCTAATGGATGGAGGCAGCGGCCTCAACATCATGTACGTAGAAACGCTCAACGCCATGGGCATCGATCGATCATGCATCCGGCTGACCGGGGCGCCTTTCCACGGCATCATGCCTGGAAAGCAGGCTGTGCCACTTGGGCAGATCGATCTGCCCATCACCTTCGGCAATCCGACCAATTACAGGATAGAGACCCTTACCTTCGAGGTGGTCAGGTTCCACGAGACCTACCACACCATCCTAGGACGTCAATGCTACGCAAAGTTCATGGCCGTCCCCAACTATACCTATCTAAAGTTGAAGATGCCAGGTCCATGCGGGGTCATCACCATCGGCACCTCCTTCCACTACGCTTACGAGTGCGAGGTCGAGTGCTGTGAACACGCCACTGCAATTGTCGCCTCCAAAGAGCTTGCGACCATCAAGGAGGAGGTCGTCGAAGAAACGCCCGACCCCAAGCAGTCGGCTGGGTCTTTAGAGCCTATAGAGGACTCCAAGGAGGTCCTCATAGACCCCAGTGACTCTGAGGGCAAAGTGGTGCGCAACGGCACCACGCTTTCCTCCAAATAAGAAAGCGCGCTCGCTAACTTCCTCTACGCCAACAGAGACATCTTTGCATGGAGACCCTCGAACATGCCAGACATTCTGAAAGAAGTCACTGAGCACGCCTTAAAGATCAGGCCAAGCTCCGAGTCGGTGAAGCAGCGCCTGTGTCACTTCGATGAGGAGAAACGCAGGGCCATCGGCGAGGAGATTGCGAAGCTTTTGGCGGCCGGGTTCATCAAGGAACTATACCACCCCAAGTGGTTAGCCAATCCCGTTCTTGTATGAAAAAAGTGGGAAATGGGGAA